CCCCAAAACCCCAAAACCCCAAAACCCCATCAGGCAGATATTAGTAAATAAAGTATAATTACAAAAATGAAAAATAGCAAAATCAAAGTAAATATAAAGTAGTTTTAAATTTTTATTGCATTAATTACGTGTTTTATTATCTAACATACTAATTATCATTTGCCTAAGAAATATTATGATTTGATCTATGGATTAAAATATATATCCTCAGTAAAAGCAAGAACCACCTTGAGTTGTCTTCATTAGGTTGTCTGTGCTATAAGATGGTGCTATAGAGCCAAGAGAAGCGATCTGAGTTGTTTCTGTAGCAAGGGTTTATGACCTTCCTAGAATCCAGGCATATTAAACTTTGAACAATCCAAAGAAGAAATTAGTGCAAGAATATACAATAGCATAGTTAGTGTAATCTGTGTCAACAACGTTGTAAGATCCTTTTGGGATATACCAATCAAACTTGACCTTGCATTATGCTCCTTAACAAGTTGCTCTTCCATCAATAGATTTTGCTTTTCCATTTGATCCAACAGCATAATTTAGCACTGATATTTAATTAGATGAGATCGCTCCATATGTTGCTGTCACGCAAGTATCATCTTTCTCAAATGGCAAATCTTTGTCTCTATAAATCTCATACCATTTGCCCACATATTAACTTGCGTCGAAATTAGCAACAACGTTGAATGGTTTGCAGCTTCCCCAGCTTGTTTTACCTTGAATTTGGCAGAGCAAAAGTGATAACCCCAAAGCGATAAATTTGAGCATTTTACTATAATTAAATTACTATATGGCACTTAATGAATTAGAGAAATTAAGCAATAGTAAAAGTAAATTTTTCTTTAACATAAGACATGCTTAAACTAATAAAATGATTATTCACTTGAAAAAGATTAGCAAAGTGAGATAAATGAAGATGAATGTATTCAGATAATTTAGGAATCTAGCGAATAGCATAGTCATCATGTGTCTTAAAGAATGCGAAACACTTAAAAACAACATTCATAATTATCTTAGACATCTGAGGATTATAAAAAGAGAGTGTAGAAATAATAAGAAAAAGTAAACAGTATGCTACAGATATTCAAGACTTGCTCCTAATATTCTAATCAAAATTCTCAAAGCTACAATTAAAATTAATCATAATAAAGTCAAATTGAATCTAACATCTTTTTACCAAAAAAGAGATAAAGAAAATCAGAGAAAGGTCTTGGTAAGACTATGAAAGTAGCTAAAACAGATTAAAATTAAAGAGTAGTTTTTAACTTTCAAAAGATAGGTGATTATTCTAATCAATGCAACAGTGCAATAGTCCAAAATAACGATAGTTCAATAAGTGAAGAGAGCTATGATAGATCTAAATTTGATA